TTATGATCCCAGCTGATGGTAATACTGGACTGGCTGGATCTCAAAATTAAACTTGAAACAACCCAAGTTTTATTTCTGCACTTTGGTTCTCATGGGAGTCAGTCACTGAATGTATTCAAATGAGGATGACAATGTTCTTTTAACAAAAGAAAACAAGCTTATTACACAATGGTAATAAGTCATGATGATGCTGGACAAGACAACTTAGAAAGATTTAAACATAAACAGCAAAGATATCCAACCCTTTTCCCTAGCAACACCCTTCATAGTCTCTCAATCTCAAAGAAATAATACTCCTATGTTGACTGTCCAATTTCTTACTCAAGTGACTCTTTTCAGTCCTTATCCATGGATTGCTGAAACAACACAAGACCTGTTTTTCCAGCTGTAATGGCTTGAAGACTTCTTGCCAGCTCTGATAGAATTGGGAAGAAGCATCCAGATTGACAGTTCAGAGGCATCTACCAACGCTCACAGTTTGAAGACTTACAAAAACTGATCAACGGCTCTTCTGCTAGCTGACTTTGCTTGTGGACTCAACATACTGGTGGCCCCTAACCTGCTGAGTCTGTCATTAAACTCAATTTTGTAAACATCCATAAATTAACTTTCCATGTAGCTGATTCAGTCATTTAAGTCACATGCTCTTAGGGAAAGGAATCTTTACTTCATTATTCAAAATGACTGATGTTTGCGTAAAAGTTGTCACTTCACAGAACTGAACACTAAAATCTATTTTTGAATCCAAGTTTGCAAATACTACAAAAAAAAACTACATCACATTACTTGGAGTTTTAACATCTGGTCTGATATTTGAAATTATTCACGTTCTTACCCATCACTATATATTACTCGGCTTTCAAGTGGAAGCTGAGATATTCATATTCAATCTTTGAGATTTCCCTTAAGTTTCATTGCCATATTCCTCCTATTCTCTTCTTGTGCTAAATAATTTGTACAGAAAATAGCCAGGAAGACATTTATTTCCTGCGAAGTAGCACTTGTACTATCATTAGTCTACCTCAATATTTCAACAGCGAAAGGGTTAGACTGACAGCTTTTAATCTGTTCATCTGAAAATTGGTAGTACTGTATCCCCAATTGAAGTACCACATTCTTGAGCAATCTAAGATTCAAATTCTATTATTTAAGCAATACTATGAAGTGGAATTTCAGAACACTGTTGTTGGCCTTATTTTGTTTCTAATCAGACAGTATTTTCTTATTTGCCTTATTTAAGTGCTGGAGACAAAAAATGTGTCAAATTAAGGTCTGCCTTGTCTGAATTTATACCATTGGCTGAAGTTTAGATAGGTTTGTGTAACAATAGATGAAAAGGAAGAAAGAAAACTCAGGGCAGATAGTATCAAGATCAATACAGCGTGAAGCTGGAGGAACACAGCAAGTTAGGCAGCATCAGAGGAACAGGAAAGTCGACGTTTCAGGTCAGGACCCTTCAGTCCTGATGAAGGGTCTTGACCTGAAATGTCAACTTTCCTGCTGTTCTGATGCTGCCTGACCTGCCATGTTCCTCCAGCTCCATGCTGCATTGACTCTGATTCCAGCATCTGCAGTTCTTGCTATCTCAGGGCAGCTAGTACTTGTTTGAGGAAATTATACAATACTGGAATTTAAAAATAATGTTGACTTGGAAGTGATGGAACTTTGACATTTCTGCCAATGTTTGAGGGAGTAACAAGAGAAGTTAAAATTGACTACTATAACGATTTTGCTTTTAACGTGCAGAAAAAAAATTCACTATTGGTTGTTAGATAGAATCCTAAAGCAGCATGTGGAATGACAGCTCATGTTGGTATTGTACTGCACCCAAGCTTTTCAGAATTGAGCATTATTTAAACTTAGATTAAATGCTTTCAGACTTCAATTCCAGATGGCTGAAGTCAGATCACCATCTTTAAAATCAACAATGAATCTAGTTTAATCCTACTAAAACACAAAGTTATAAAAATCAGAAAACGAAAAATTTTAAAAAAGTGTGTCTTTTAAGCTTACCATAAGGGAAAAATAAATGAAAAATTAGAGCTTGCATTGGCATCTACTCCAGTTAAGCAGCAATAGCTAACTAATGTATTACATGTTTGGCTGAGAACCTGCTGCCAACTATGTTTCTGAATGTATCTTGTTCTCTTTTATCTTATCCTGTAATGAAGAGTATCAGTGAGGTGATGCAGAGCAAGGTAAAGTATGAATCAGAATGCAGCAAGCAGAATTTTAGACAGGTTAAACTTTCTGCAGAGTGGAGTTTGGGAAGAGGAGAGTCAAAAAGTGCAAGGATAAAAATGAAGTTGAAGGCAAAAAATGTTTGGTTGAGTTTCAGCTCTGCTGGCTGATGTTGGGTGAGGTGGGCGATACTGTGGAGATGGGTGTGAACATTTGACCAAATGGGGTTTGCAATTTCAACATAGCAACTGATTCAACCCAAGTACACAGCTAAGGAGGGTGAGAGTCAGGAGGAGAGTTAGTGTTTTTGCTGGAAGTCAAATAAGATGGCTTTAAATCTTTCTAACATCCAACTGGAGGAATTTTTAGCTCATTCATTACAATGCCAGATTAAGCAACTTGTCTAAAACAAAAACAGAAAATGCTTAAATATGCTCAGCAACTCAGGCACCATTTGTAGACATCGGTAGAGGTAGATCTGGCAGTAAATAACAATTTAGCACAGAAACGATACCAAGTGGAGAAATGGTGTCAGTATACATCTGAAGGCCAAGTTCATGCCTGCAGTTGTTGTTATGGAACGGCACCACCAAAATAAAGAAAAAGTGAATTGAGTTTGAAACAGCGGTATATTCTGAAAGAGAAGCTGCAGTTAGCAATGGCCAGTTGCAACGAGAACCTGGGAGTAGAATAAGCATGATGGCTCATGGAGAAAAAATAAAATTTTGCACTCATGAAGCACTTTTCATGACTGAAAGGCAACTCAAAAGTGAATCACTCCCAAACTTGTGTTTAGACAGCTCTTTCAAAACCAATTCTACCTTATGGATTTAATCTTTCTGAAGCCTTTTGACATTATTGTATCTTGTTCCATTTATGGATATCTGCAACTAGTAGGTCTGCCACCACGCTGTCCTTGAATGTTTAAACCTTGATTTAAACCAGAAGACACAAATTGTTGGTGTTGTGGAAAGTGAGCAAGGTTATCAAAGAATACAGTGGGATATGGATCAGTTGGAAAGTTGGGCAGAGAAATGGCAGATGAAGTTTAATCTGAACAAGTGTGTCGTGATGCATTTTGGGAGGTCAAATGCAAGAGGAAAGAACACAGCAAATGGTAGGAGCCTTAGGAGCACTGATATACAGTGGGACCTTAGAGTGTGAGTACACAGCTCCCTGGAAGTGGCAACACAAATTAATAATGTGGTAAAGAAGGCATAAGGCATGCTTGTCAGGGCATAGAGTATAAAAACCGGAAAGCCATGTCGCAATTGTATCAGACTTTAGGCCACATTGGAGTACTGTGTGCTGTTCTGATCACCACTCTATAGGAAGGATGTAGAGGCTTTGGAGAGGGTGCAAAAGTGGTTTACTATGATGCTTCCTGGATTGGAGTGCATTAGCTATAAGGAGAGGTTGGACAAACTTGCATTGATTTCAGTAGTGCATTGGAGGTTGGCAGGAAACCTGATAAACGTATGTAAAATTATGACAGACGTGGAGAGGGCGGATAGCCGGAGTCTTTTCCAATGATGGAAATGTCAACTGCTAGGAGTCATTTATGTCCATCTACTTTAGACTCAACTCCTAACCTAACCTGCGCCACACTCCATTCCCTCACCCTCCCGACCCAAACCCAACTCCCCACAGCCCCGAGGCCATCAAATAGAATTTCTGACAACTTCCTATTTCATATACAGTCCTAGCCTTCCAATGATAAGTTTGTAGTCCATATTTTGTCATTCACTCAATGATTGGAAAAACAGACAAATTCAGGTCCCATCACAATCCGATTTACAATATTCCACAGTAACATTACCTGCATTTGGTATGTCTTATATTCCCCAGACATTTTTCACTCCTTACATGCATCTTCATTCACAGCAGCAGCTTAATGCCTCTCAACACTACTCCAAACTTTCTTCTTGGGCCAACTTCTCCAAGTAAGCATTAATAATAAAACTTGACACTAGTCTTTTGCATTTAAATCTTCTCTCCTGCTTAACTCCCCTCCTTATTTTGTCTACTTCTCACCTGGGTTAATTCACAATCTCTTACATTCTCTATTTTTGGCCTCTCACTATCCAAGCCCACTTCCATGACCCCACTCTTTGTTTTTTGCTCTCTTGCTGTCACCTTGACATTCACCATTTGCCTTCCGCTCCATCTCCCTATTCCTTGTGCCTTTACCCTCGCCCTAAGTGACCTGATCAAAACTGAACTGTGGTCATGCAAAGGTCTGGAATCAGTGTGGAACTATACCTGATTAAAAAGCAAGCGTCTGCAAGAAGGGAGATATAGGGAAAATGTAGGAAAACATGAAGAACTGGATTCCAATGCCCACCAAGCATCTTATAAAATTTAAAAACATGTCATATAAAAGAATTTGAAATACAGCCTTAATAAAAAGAATTATTTTTTTTTAAAACAGAACATATACTAGTGTTTGAGAAAGATTTGCTTCTTCATTTTTACAAATGCTACGGCAACATTCTTTTATTTCCCTTTCTGCCTGCCTTCCTCCTTCCCACTTGCCAAAAGGGAAAAAATAATATATCAATGTCCCTCAATGGGACGGTGTGGTATCTGATATGTACAGTCAGGAAGAAAAAGGACTAGGAAAGTTTTTCTCACTTGCTCCTTCAAACAACCTGGCATAGATTTAACAAGGTAGTGTAAACATAAATACAGCAAGTAATGGTTTGAAGCACTGATATTGCTCCAAATGTTCCTTAACCCACATCCTGTAAAATAAATTCTCCTCTGTCATGAAGTATTTTTCTATTTAAAAATCTTAAATGCACAACTTCAGTACCTACTTGTCTATATCTATACCAAGAGGGTTTGCTGGGCGCAGAGATAAGGGAGAAATGCCTTTATTCCTATCAGTGCGCATATCATAATAGTTCATTTCTTCAACCCAGACAGCTGACTGTTCCAGAATACCTGTAGAAAAATAAAAAAGGTACAAGGAATGAGGTATTATATTAGAAACAAACAGACAAGGAACAAGTTCATTCCAACAGTCAATGATAAATCTACTAAACTGATTGCCAAGAGTATTGTGTTTCCACCTTCAAGTGTTAAGCATAACACCAATTGTTAAGCCATATTTTACAAAAACTATGATAAATTGAAGGCACTTGGTCTCAGGACTCTAAACAATTCACATTTCTGTCCAACTTTTCTCTTACCTGTGGAAAGCTGATGACAGGGGCGGCAGCTATTTGGTTCATCATCCCTATGCCTACACCTTGCTGGAGCACGCAAACTAATTCCACTATCCACTATGCTTTGCATTTCATAGGTCTGTCTTAAATAGGTATCCAATTATCTCACTTTGTGACAGCAGAAATTGTTAACAATAATTCCAACACAGCAAAAACGTAAACTTCAGTCTCCATAAAATAACTGTTACTACCATGCAGTAAAATACATTTCTTTTCTTTTTAAATGTTTAACATATTAAAAATATAACTACAGAAACAGAATTTTGTCAAATGCATTCTCTTGTCTCTCTCTCACCCTCACCTTCTATTCCCTACTATCACCCCACCTCCCCACAGCCTTGACATATTAACTGAAAAATGCTGGAAACATTAAGCAGGTCAGGGAGCATCCATGGGGAGAGAAATAAACTTCAGAAAAAAAAGTTAAACATTTGTTTCAGAGTTGGAGAGTGGTGTTGAATTCTGGGAATGGCATTTTAGGAAGGATATCAAGACTCATATGTTGTAAGCAAGATTTGAAAAGAATGAAAGCTAAAAACTCTACATGCTGGAGATCTAACATAAAAACAAAGTGTTGGAGAAACTCAGCAAGTCTTGCAGCATCAGTGGCAAAAGAAAGAGTTAACATCAACTCTGATTTGACTCTTTTTTGGAAACAGAGCTAGCAATATGATGGGTTTTATACTGTTGAAATGCGGAGATGGAGAAGTGGAAGAAAAGGGAAGTTGCAGAAAGATTGGAGGATATGGGAAATCAGAGGTCAAAGATATCACAAAATAAAAGGCAAAGGAAGCTTCCTTTACAGCCTTTTGGGCTCAACATGGAGTTCAACAACTTCAACCATGACCTCTGTTCTTCACTTTTACATTCCACCCTTCACTATACCTTTGCTTCCCCTGTAAAATAGCAAGAAACTCAGATTTCCACCTCTCTTCAGTTCCAAAAAAAGGCACAATGGACTCAATGTTAACTTTTTTTCCTCTACCCACAGATGCTGGCAGACCTGTCGAGTCTGGAAAAGCTTGTATTGTTTCCTCTGAATAGAGAAGGGTTAGAGGAGATTTGCTGTACTTGCTTAATATCATGCAGATCTTCAATTGTGCAAGGTAAAACTCTTCCCATGGTCTAAGTGTAAGCAATGAAAATACTCACATTACAAGTGACTGGTAAAAGACAGAGGCAATGAGTCTTCTTTCATGCAGGAAATTGCTGTATACTAGAATGCACTGCCTGAAAGAGTGGCTAGCAATAACTTTCAAAGGAGAACAGTTAGAAAAAAAAAAAGAGCAATGGGGAAAGATAAAGGGAGCAAGGCCAAATCACTCTACTAAAGATCATAAGCATGGTGACCTGAACGCCATCATTCTACAAGTATAACCTTATGGTAGTAAATGTCACAGGAAAATAGATTCAGACTATCATGCTGGCAATTTGTAGGCAGGAGATCCCCATAAGCAACACACCACAGCTTCTTCACTTTCAGTGGTTCTCGGGCAACCAAAGATTTAGTGTAGGAGAAAAGGTGAATAGGGATGAAGGCCTGAAATTGAGAGATGCAATCAAATTATACTACATTTGAAAATCGATCTAGAGTGACACTTTTCCAAAAATTTGACATTGTTTATAAATTAAAATGTTACAAGGTTTCCTCTGTTAAAATGATGGCATTACTCTGGTGGTATCAAACTAAACAATTAAATCCTCCACCGCAACTCAGTGCCTCGTAGTCAGGCATGATTCCACAAATGGCAATACGTTCTGGAATCTCACAAAGTGATTGCTTTACACATATGAATATGGAGCAGTGTTAACAGAATGTTCTGAGAGACTTGAAGATCGAACAGAATAGTATGCTCAATCACAGAACCATGGAAAATAGGAGCAAGGACTAACAAGTCCAAGTTTTTCAATGCAGCCCCTATATCACACTCCCAAGTAAGGACCAAAAGAAGAGCTACTACCCCACCACCTTGTACCACGCCTCTGAGAAGCAACAGTCATGTGCCTCAGAGAATAAACCATCAAGGGCTTCCACCTCACACTCTACCAAGTGGAGACATTCATCTCAGTGGTTACAAGAAACATAGAATATAGGAGCAGAGGTAAGCCTTTTAGCTTATCATGCCCGATCTATTACCAAACCACAGTCTATTTCAACATATACCCCTGCCCTCTGTCCCCATACCCGTTGATACCTTTAACCTCTGAAAATCTATTTCTTCTTTAAACGTATTCAGTCAGTTGGCCTCCACAGCCTTCTGTAGTTGAGAATTTCACAGGTTCACCACCCTGGGAATGAAGAAATTTCTCCTCACCTCAGTCCGAAATGGCTGACAACTTATTCTGAGACTGTCGCCCCTTGGTCTGGCTCTCCAGACCAATGTAAATATCATCCCCGCATTTAATCTGCGCAGCCCTGTCAGAATTTTATAAACATTCAAAGGTTTTGGAGTAGATTTCTCGGGTTGTAGAGTAGATAGCTCGGGTTGTGGGTGTTGAGGTTGTTGAAGTTGGTTGGCTCACCGAGCTGGTTTCTTGTTTCAGACGTTTCGTTACCATGCTTGGTAACATCTTCAGTGCAGCCTCCAATGAAGCGTCGCTGTGTTTTCCTGACTGGTTTTTAAACTCTGGGGTCCGTTGAGATGGATTGCTTCACTTCCGAGTTTCCTTCGTAGTGGAATGTATATGGGATCGAGTTCAATGTGTTTATTAATAGCATGCTTCGTGGAGTGCCATGCTTCTAAGAATTCTCGTGCCTGTACTCTTGTTGTTAGTTTCCTTCCTGTTTGTCCGATATACTGTTTCTCACAGTCTCTGCAGGGGATCTTGTAGATGACATCGGTCCTGTCCGTGGTGGGGAGTGAGTCCTTGGTTCAGGTGAGCAGTTGTCGTAGGGTTGACGTGGGCTTGTGTGCCACTCTGATGCCCAGCAGTTGTAGGAGTCTTGTGGGGAGTTCCGATGTGTTTCTGATATAGGGTAGTGTGATGAGGATAAGGATAATGGATATCCAAAGAATTGGGTCAGAAGATGCCTACACGAACAGCAGCAGAAAGAGACTACACGCCCCGACACACTCAGCACACTACCCTATATCAGAAACACATCAGAACTCACCACAAGACTCCTACGACCGCTGGGCATCAGAGTGGCACACAAGCCCATGTCAACCGCTCACCCAAGGACCCACTCCCCACCATGGACAGGACCAGTGTCATCTACAAGATCCCCTGCAGAGACTGAGAAACAGTACAATCGGACAAACAGGAAGGAAACTAACAACAAGAGTACATGAACACCAACTGGCTACAAAAAGGCGCGACCAACACTCTCTCATCTCAATCCACATGGACAAGGAAAACCACCACTTCGACTGGGACAACACCAAGATCCTGAGACAGGCATGAGAATTCCTAGAAGCATGGCACTCCACGAAGCACGCTATTAATAAAAACATTGAACTCGACCCCATATACATTCCACTACGAAGGAAACCCGGAAGTGAAGCAATCCATCTCAACGGACCCCAGAGTTTAAAAACCAGTCAGGAAAACACAGCGACGCTTCATTTGAGGCTGCACTGAAGATGTTACCAAGCATGGTAACAAAACTCTGCGAAACAAGAAACCAGCTCGGCGAGCCAACCAACTTCAACATTCAAAGATATTCCCTCTCATTCTTTTCAACTCCGGTGAATGCAGGCCTCACTGACCTAAACTCTTCATATGCAACAACCACGCTATCCCAAGTATTTATATCAACTCTAGTTCTTTAGCCACACTGAAACCATTTTTTCCAGCAGGGGATTATCTCCTAAATTCTTGCAATGAATGCCTCCATACCATTTGCCTTCCAAAGTATTTTCTGCACCTTCATGCTTGCTTCGAATGACCAGTGTACAAGGACACCCAGGTCCCTTTACACATTAATGCTTCACATTGTGTCACTATTTAAATAATACTCTACCATTCTGTTTTCTTTTTACGCAAAGTGGACAACTTTACATTTATCCATAATATATTGCGTTCAATATGCATTTGCAATATATATTCATTGAATAGAAATGCCAATCCCAACTAACTTGGAAATTCCCAAGCCCCACGATACTAAGACCAGTTGCAACACCCTTACATCAGCCTGAAATCAGTGACCCAGTTCAATAAAATCAAACTCCAGATCTCTCAAATCCAAGCCATTTGCGGGAAGCTCCAAGCTACTGCATCATGAAATTCTTGTTAATTCCATGACTCAACCTTGAGTAACATTCTATGTACAATATAAACAGTACATTCCTGTCAGTGGTATAACTGATGTCCCATCATTTGTATACACTTATTAGAAAGTCCTTATAAAGCACACTGCCTGTAGTACAAAAGCTAATTTGGAACACAATCTGTTTTGTATCTACAATGGGACAGTTTTGGACTCCTTAACCCTTTGACATCACTGTGCCATTTCCATACAATCAGAACAAGATCATTTTCTAACACAGGGTATTCCATAAATATGCAAACACACAGAAATCTGCAGCAACTTTATGAAAAGCATTACATGGAAAAAGATTTGCACTGGTCAAAAGCCGAAAACGATCTTTTTATTGTCAAAACTAAGAATCTCAGCAATAATACACAGTTTAAGTGAAGAGAAAAACCAAACACAATATTCTTGATAAAAATCATCTACAGAAAAGAGAATTCATTTTAAAACTCAGAAATAGAAGAAACTTAAGCCACTTACCTATTTTCTCTTGCTTCATCAGTTTAAAAGAAACTGTTGAAGTTCCTTTGCCACCTGATTTAGTGGTTACTATGATGTCTCCCTTGTCATCTTTTGCTGGTCCAACTCGACAAACTATTTTACTTGCAGATATCCATTCTGAAGTCAGCAAACAGTTGTGCCCACAGATTGTTAGACCTTTAAAACAAGAGGTAGAGAGCAATTTATTTCAAAGTATAACTAAAAGTTATAATTTGATCATTTATATACACGTAGCAAGAAACAGGAGGACTTACAAGACAATAATTTAGTCTAATGTTTCAAGAAGACTCATAAAAATTGAGTGGGTGTAATCATTTGAACCCAGAAACCAAAAACAACAAGATGTGCTGCCATCCCTTTTAGATATACAAGTAATGGATGCCAAACGAGCAGACTGCTTTCTTCCTAGATTGTGTTGAGCTTCTTCAGCATTTTTGAAGCTGGAATCATCTTGACATGTAGAAACCACTCCTGTATTGTGCCCTGTGGATAGCAAATAGGTTCTGGTGAGGCAGAAGGAATTACTGGAGAATTCCCAGCCTCTGACCGCCTCTTGTAGGCGCAGCACATATATGGCCAGCTCAGTTCAATTTCTGGTCAATTGTAAATCTCAGGATGTTGCGAGTGGGAGACATGGTTATGGTAATGGTAATTGGATCCTTTTATTCGTTCACGGGGTGTGGGCATTGCTGGCTAGGCCAGGCATTACTTTCAATCTATAATTGTCCTTGAGACAGTCATGGTGAGCTACATCCTTGAACGATTGCTGTCAGTGAGGTGTAAAAACACCCTCAGTGCTGTTAGGCAAGAAGTTTCAAATTTTGACATAGAAGACCATCAAGCAATGGGATTTCTGCTCTGACTCAGGATGGTTGGCAATCTGAAAGTGAGCTTGCAAGCAGTGATATTCCCATATATCGTGCCCCTGTTTGGAAGGTGCTGCTGAAAGACCTACTGCACCACATGTTGTAGACTGTATGCACTGCAGACATCATGTGTTCTGATGAAATAAAAGTGAACATTGAAGGCTGTTGTTATGGTACCAATCAAGCAGGTTGTCCTAGACCATATCGAGTTAAGTGGAGAGCATTTCTTCACACTCCTGACTTGCAGCTTGTAGATGCTTATCAGGTTTTGGGTGACTAGAGGGAAGCCACTCGTCACAGAATCCCTGGTCACTGATTTGTTCTTGTAGCCATAGTATTTACATGCCTGGTCCAGTTCAGTTTCTAGTTAATGGTATCCCTTCCTCACACTTCCACCCTCCACCCTCCCCATCCCACTCCCTCTCTCTCACGCTTCCCCTCCCGCTCCCACCTCCTTCCCTCGCACTTCCCATGCCTTCCTCTCCCTCCCCTCCATCTCCCGATCCCTCCTTCCACTTCCCCTCCTGATCCCTCCTTCCCCCTTCCCATTTCATCTCCCGCTCTCTAGCATGGGGGGTGGGGGGTTAAAAACTTGGGGGCCTTTTTTTTGAAAAGGTGAGAGGAGAAACATTTAAATAGGACTGAGCGACAATTTTTTTTTTTTTTTTTTTAAAAACAGAAAGTGGCTCGTGTATCTGATGAACTGTCAAAGTGGTGGGTGCAGTTATGTTTAAAAGACATTTGGATTGGTCCATGAATAGAAAACATTTGGCGGGATATGGGCCAAGTGCAAGCAGATGTGACTAGTTTAGTTTGGGAACACGGTTGGACTGATTGGACCAAAAGGGTCTGTTTCTATGCTGTATGACTATGTATACTGACCAGCAAAGTTTGGTTTGTGTTTGTGACAGACAGTAATAGAGAATGCCTGGCCGATTTCTCAACTAGGCTACAGAGAGAAAAAGCTCTATCTATTCCGTGGCAAACAAGGATTGGAGCACAGGATGGAGCCCATTCAGGCCCATAAAAGGAAATCCTTACATGCAGCTGCAGATTCAAATATAGAAAATTTAATCAGAAATATTGGAAATATGGAAGGGGTAGGAAATAAAATCTCAATCCATCGAAGGCATGTTTCTCATGGATGCTGAGAGTTCTAGGCATAGCAATGATCCCAGGCAACACTATTTAGGCTTAGTGTCACTAAAACTAGGTGACTGTGCCAGCTAGTTGAATTCATAAGCTCAAAGAATACGGATTTACACAAATGGTGATGAATGCATATTGTCATGATGTAGTGCTGTAGTGTGGGTGTCTATGACTTCCTTGAGTGGCACACCAGTGAACAGGCTAGCAATGTCAAATCAGCAGATGGATACTGCATTCTTTAAAATTGATAAATGTATTCATGATAAAGAATTTCAGGCCACATACAGAGATATGTGATTTGATAACCAATAGCTTGATCAAAGAGATAGGTATTAATGAGTGCCTTAAAAAGGAAAGAGAGTAGAGATCATAAGACTACAAAAAAAACAAAAAAATAGGGACAGGATTAGGCTGCTCAGCCCCTCAAACTTGCTCTGCCATGCAGTAGGTTTGTGGCTGATCCAAATTTTCCTCATATCACCTTTCCTGCATTTTCCCCTTAACCCTCAATTCCCCCTTCTAACCAAGGATCTCTCCATCTCGGCGTTAAATATTCACAAGGGTTCTGCCCCACTTTCTCTATGGAAAGGAATTCAAAATGCTCACAACGCTCAGAGAAGAGATTCCACCTCATTGCAGTCTTAAACTAGCACCCCTTTATTCTGAGGCTATGCCCTCTGGTCCTAGACACCCTGTGAGGGGGAACATCTTCACAGCTTTTACCTTGTCAAGCCCCTTAAAAGTCTTGTGTTTCAATTAAATCACCTCTCATTCTATAGGCCCAACATGTTTAAGTAGACCAGCAGAAGGCTGGAAGAACACAGCAAGCCAAGCAGCATCTGGAGAAAAGGAGCAGTCAATGTTTCGGGTATTACCCTCTCTTCAGGACTGCATGTTTAAGCTTTGCTCCCATGACAATCCCTCCATACGAGGAATGATCCAAGTGAAACTTCACTGAACTCTGAAATAATGTCCCTCCTTTACTAAGGGGATCAAAACTACTCAGTACTGCAGAGGTGGTCTCACCAGTAGCCTGCACAGTTGCAAAAGACTTCCCTACCCTTGTACTCCAATCTCCTTGAAGTAGTACATCCCATTAGCCTTCCTAATTAATGCTAGCTGTCCGTATTTCGTGCACAAGTCCCTTTGAGCTGCAGGTTTCTCCAGCATCTCTCAAAACTTGCCTTTCTATCTATTTTGCACTGTCTGCAAATTTGGCTACAAAACATTCACTTCCTTCCTCCAAGTCACTAATATGTTATTGTAAACAATTTCATTGCAGTCCCAGCACTGATCCCTGTAGAACCACACTTGTTAAAAAGGTCCCCAACCTGACAAAGAAGACCTTATCCAAGAAGGTGACACCGGCAAGGTAGGGAGCATTTGGGCTCATGGGCCCCTCCGCCCCAGAGGTCACTTCCTCCCTTCTTTCCTCAGCTTTTCTGTCATCTTTTTCTTTTCTTCTGCTTAGTCATCTTCGGTGGCAGAGGGGTGACATTGCAGAGGGGATTGGCCAGCGAGGGACTCTTGGCAAGGCGGCAGCCTCGCCTGGCGGTGAACCCAGCGACTCCTGGCTGTGGCAGAGCGGGGACCCTAGGCATTGTAAAAGATGCAGTGGCAGCAGAGCCAGGGGCTTCTGGTTACAGGATAAGGATGGGTCCGGCACAGGATCCGGCATTGGCTGCCCATCAGTGGGGTGGGCCCAGCAAAGAAATGGCTCCTGAAGGGTGGCGACTCAGACGTTGTTGGGTCCAGCATAGATAGCAACACGGGTGTCATTGGTCAGCCAGCTCAGAGCTTAGGACTCATGGGTAGAGCCGGTGGAACAAAGACAGACTTCAGCTTTGTCTTTTTATTCCTGAAGTATTCGAAAGGCACCGAATTGTGGCGACAGTTAAAGCTTTTCACTGTATTTTACCGTGTTGTTCATTCTAAGTATAAGTGACAATAAGTCATCATTCATACATTCTTTACCCTCACTCACTGTTTCCTGCCCATGAGTTAATTCCTTATCCATGCTAATATACTACCTCCAACACCACACTCTTATTTTATGACTTAACAGGTACTTTGCTGAATTGGAAGTTCAAATACAACACATCAATTGTTTCCCCTCTATCCACACTGGTTGAGACATCATTGAAAAACTCTAATAAATTAATCAGAAACAATTTCCCTTTCATGAGGTCATAATGACTCTGCTTGGCTGGATTACTGTTTCCCAAACATGTTGTTGTTAGTCCCTTAATAATTGATTGTAACATTTTTCCAACAATGGATGTTAAGCTAAATGACCTAATCAGTAACCCACTTTTTGAGTAAGTGTCACATTGGCAGTTTGCTAATCTTCTGCTACTTCTCCAGAATCCAAGGATTTTTGGAATACTACAACCAATGCATCCACCATCCTAGGATGCAGGCCATCACGGCCATTACTTCTTTAGTGATGACACTTAATTCCTCCCCCATACTCTTTTGTATTAATGGCATGGTCAAAATATCTTCAACTATAAAGACTGATGCAAAATATCTGTTTAACTCCTCTGCCTTTCCTTGTTCCCCTAACTATCTTCATTTTCTAAGGGGCTTATGTTTACTTTGACTTCTCTCTTCCTAGCAGAGATTTTACTCTGAGGTCATTTATTAAATTTATAGTTTTTCCTACAGTGTGGCTATTGCTTAGGAGTCTATACACGACTCTTACCAACGTCTTCATTCAGCTGCTATTTTCCACCTCCACGCCAATGGACTCCACATCATCCAAGCATTAATTGTCTCTCATAAGTGTCCTCATTTCACTTCTTATTAACAGTGCTACCCCACCAACATTTCCTTCCGTCCTATACTTCTAAAAGGTCAAATACCCCTGAATGTTAATTCCCATCTTTGATCCCTGCAAAGATATACCCATGTGTGTTGTTTTGGAGGTGATTGAAGAAAAGTGTATAAAAAAGTGGTGTACGCACAAAATATTACAATGTGCTTGAATATAAATTTTTTCAATGCCACCAGCTTTACATTAAAAGGTAATTTTAGATGCTTTTATATAAAATGGCTTGCCTTGAACAAAATTAGACATTTACCTATAAGATCCACGGATCCTGTTCCCAGATTTTCTCCTCTGATTGTAACTTTTGTCCAGGGATACCCCTCATTTGGAGAGATCCCAGTTACCAGTGGGGGTTGCCGTGTTCGAGACATGATCACTCTTCAGTTATAGATTTTCAGTGAAATATTTCAAGGTACAGCAGTCTGTAAATACAACATTACGACAACAGTTGAGTGTCTTTTGTAAGAGAGTATGCGTGCGCATATATGTATATATGTGGAGCAGGGAGACAGGAGGTACAAGAAGAAGTTTTAAATATCATTCAACCAATTGAATAAATGATAAGCATTAAGTATATAAAATTACAAATTCTGAAAACTAGATCCTGAATTCAATTTACTGATTATAAATGGTTTAATAAATACGCAATGGGACAATGCACAAATATTTTGATTGCTGTGTCTTTATTCAGCCTCACTAAAACATTGCTATTTCATGATCTGTTTCAAATTAATTAAAGTTGAAAATTATGTGCATTACTCAAGCACCCGAACTTTTACTACATTAGAGACAACACTGATACACACCCACAATTTGAAACAGAGAAATGTCCCTCCGTACTGCCTGCTGTACTGGAGTGTTCTTCCATTACATCAACAATGCTGAACTGCTATGCAGCAAAAAATATTTGCCTTTGCCCTTCAAAGAACATGCTTTATACTATACATGGGGTTTCCACAATTTCACCAGAATGCTTCCATCAAATTAAAAGATGACAAATTCCCACAAAGCTTCATAAATTCCTTCTTTGAAAAATCAACACAGTAAGTTACTACTAAAGTTAAGCTTGTGATTTTAGCTTTTGAACATTTATACAGGCTTGTCAGAAATAATTTTGCAACTTATCAATGAAAAAATTATTTTGGCATAGGGGAAGGAAGGGTATTTTAAAGTTCTTAATTACTTTTAAAACATAATTAAAATAATGATTTTAAAATAGGCCAACTAGTAGTTTCTCAGCCTGGCTTCTTAAAAATGTTTGTTTTTAATTTCCACAGATATAAATGAAATAAGGAAAATAATTTTTCGATACTGAGAGATTAACTCTGATGTTATCTTAATAAAACAAAAATCAATACATATAATCTTATTGAACCAACGTTGAAAACTTAGAAATACCCTCCAAATGTATTTTTTTTTCTAAATTAGCTATACTGCAGTTCTGGAAACAGTGGGACAAATATTAAATTCCTGCTTGGAACATTACACCTCAATTTCATTTACAACCTGGATTAGCTTGTCCGTGACATGTTGAAATTGATCTACGAGCTGCGAGTGTGATTAGCACAAGTCCAGCATTTCAGACTGTTCAGCAGCTGTGATGGACTGGCCACTGCTTATGGAACCAGCACACCAGAAATGCTGGGCAGAGTTCCTGCGTCCAAGAAAATTAAAGTAAACAGACGAGGTCTTTCTCATCCACCCTGTTAGCAGCCTCTCAGCCTGGAGACCACACACCCAGACCACACAGCGCCAGCTGAACTCACTTGCACGCAAAGTCTAGGAGCTGTTAGTTTACTAGGGTGGTGAGAAGGTGGGGGTTGTAAGCAATGGTGCTCGGCTTATATCATTAGGCCTGGGGTTGGGGGTGGTGGGGGGGGGGGGGGGGGCGGAGAACGTGGCCGGGGGTGTGTGTGTGTGTTAATCCATCCCTTGCTGGGGCAACATACTGGTCACGGCCTTTCACCATTTGCTGCTACCACCCACCCACACTACTACCCCTCCCCCCACCTCCCCGATAACCAAATGACAAATGACTGAATGATTCTAACACTTGCAACTCCTCCATATCACACATTACGGGAAAGACTAACTGTGTAAAAGGAGAGCTTGTTGAACGTATAAGTAATACAACACTGAGGTTTTGGTTAACATCACTAGAATAAATTACATCTGTGTATTCAGGACAGAAATACTTCTAGCATTATATTAGCAACATCTTGTCAACCAAAACATTGATTCTGTAATACTGAATACTGAACATTTATAACATTTGAATAAATTGTCAAAGTATTTCATTCTATAACTGCTTTCTAATTTACAAGAAATACTCAACAGCTTTTACATCATAAAAGCACTGCAATAAAAGTCTTACAGCCAAGGTATTTTTACCATTAAACAGAATGTTTGATTTCTACAAATTGCTATCTACCTTACAGGAACGAGAAAAATTTATGAGCATTGCTTATTAACAGGTTTCAAATTTCAAAACATATTGTAAAACATTGCTTTATCAATTCAGGCAACATGTCATAGTGTAATATTTAGTGACCAAAGTTTCACTACTTTTGAAGCAAAGACCCCATAAATTAAAATTGCCCACAGATCAAATTAAGTTTATGTGTCAAAACATTGAGCATGATGTGCTGTACATTACTAAGACGAAAACTGTGACTCCAAGTCCAATAGAGATATTTTTGGCAGAGATATCATGAACCTCTACTAATTCTGCTTCCAAACTACCAAAGAACAAGGATGGCAACGCAATTCAGCTCCTGCTTCTCAGGTTCCCATTCATCACCTCAGACTGTTTCAAAGAAAGGACTTCACCTATAGACCAATACGCCCTTAAATCATCCCGAAGTATTTTACAGCAAATCATTACTTTTTAAGTGCAGACACTGCTTCACATTGGTAAATGCAGCAGCCAATTTTTATACTACAAGGCCCCACAAACAGCAATTGCATCAATAACCTGATGACACTGCTTGAAAGACAAATGTTGACCAGGATGCCAGGTGAAATCTCTGCTATTCTTGAAATAGTGCCTGGGATCTTTAAGATGATCAGGTAAATTAACCTCCACTGACAACACAGCACACCTTCAGTCTAGCAGGGGAATATCAAGCTAGATTGCGGGTTTGGATTTCAGGAATGTGGGTAAACCCACAAGCGTGTGACACGGGGAAAAGCTATAATCATCAATGAACCAAGCTGGCACTGTCAGTCATATACAAGTTTCAATTTTGAACTTTCCAACTCACTCAGTGGCACTTCATTTTCAGAAATCATCAGTTGTGCTGTTTAATCTGAATAAGATTGTTCACTCAAATAGTTTAGCTGCAGAAACAAAATTTTGACCAAAACCATAATTTATGATGCAACATAGGAGATATTGGGTAGGCATTAGAGAATTACAACACAATAATACAGGTCCAGTATTATGATGCCATGAACTATGACAATTGATCAGTTTCAACTTGAAGCACTTCAAATTTGATGAGCCTCGTTTTTATTTATTTATTTTTAATTGTAGTGGGTATAGGATATTTAACACTAAAGGAATGTTGACAAAACCAACATGTTCACTTCCTACGACATATCTTCACAAAACTGAACCCTCCCTTGTGTCAAAAGGTTAACAGTCCAAAAACTTGAGCACATAACTTCAGCTGACGTTTGAATGCACTACTGAAGGAGTGCTGCACAGTCATGGGTTGTTTCATGTATAAATCACATAATAGCAAAGTCGGACTTTCTAAACAAGTCATTGTAAAATATCCCATAACACTATGCAAGAAGTGTGCTGTCTTAGTGCCCTGGCCAATATTTACTCTTAACCAACATAAAGCAGGTTATCTTGACTTTATCGCACTGCCACATAAGGCACACTGCTGTGTTGAAATTCACTCCCATTATGATAACCAACTCTTGCTGGACATATTCCAGGAGATGTTGTCAGAAGTGACATCACCCAAAACTGCTGTGAAACTAGTTCTTCTGTTTGGTATTTAAAGTCAGGGTCCCCTTTAAAACTATTCTCTTAATGTTCCATATATAGTATTTTGGTGTAGCATGAAACCTCATTCTCAGTGTTACAGTACTAACTAGACTTCTAGAAGCAGAAACAAAAGGTTTATCTGGCACCTCAGACTCTATTATGGATACAGTACTTTGCAGTTAAAGAGTTCTTATTCTTAGGTAGAAGGAAAGCTAACCTACAAAATGGAGGTGGGCAAGCAGACAACAGTCACCATGATTAGCTACCAAGGATCATTGGTCAAGAGAGTTTAGAGAGGCAATGGCCAGCAACAGGGACTGGTGTGCGTTATGGAGCCATAGCCAGAGAGAGACTGAGCCAACACCTTCTTGGTAAAAGACCAGGAGTGCACCTAAATCAGCCCAAGAATAGAACAAAAAGAGGGTTACCTTCAAAGGTTGCATGACATCAGAAATGAATAGTCCACCACTTCAAAACCACTGCCCCTGCTCCTCCATTCTACAGAACAGCTTCAGGATCAGTAAAGCATTGTCATCTGTCACATTAGCCAATTAAACAAAAAGTATACAACAGTATCATATCTAAACAGCAGCTTCTCAACAAACTCAAACTATGAGAAAATTGCTCCAAATTGTCAACTGCCTATATTAGATAACTGTGATCACAAGGAGACATAATCTTAAAGTAAAGCCAAACAGCCATTCAATTGCAATCTCCTGGTTTCAGTCAGTTTTAACATCATCAAGCTGGTTGACATCTAGGGGTTCTCAGTTGCAATGTTATTCTTACACTAATCCCATGCATGGCTGCAAATTAGCCTGGAAGGCACTGTGCAGATCTTGTTTCACGTTCAATGCAGAACGCAAGCACTTATGCACAATTATTACAAAATACTGCACATTGAAGAAATTGGCAAAGTACAACAACAAAATTTTCAAGAGACCATTGAGTATTTGAGAAGTTCATTTCCGGGAAGGGATGCAATCAGGCTGGCTTTGAGCGTCTACCTGCTCTCTTCAAAAGTTTTTAATTACAAGAAATCTTATTTTCTTTTCTTGAAGAGACACTAGCAACCTCTTTAAGGAAGACTGGTAGCTGATGTTACCACAAGTAAAACACAGACAGTGCAGCTTCACACATGCACTATCAGCTACCTGCATTAAAGATAGCACAGACCAAAGAAACAGTAGAGTGTTTTTCTCCTTGCTCTCTTCACCACTGAAGCTTTAGCATGTCACAGCATGACACTGATCATTCATAGAAGGGATACTAGTGAACGAAGAATCACGTACCTGCCTATCTCTCAGAATGCATCCGTTGGCCGGGAAGGCATGCAGAATGCACTGATACTGATTCCAGTAGATTCCTCGTCAATCCAGAAGAATGTATCAGCCCCGGCTGCCACATTCTTCTGGATCGACC